CTCAAACTCTAGAACAGTGTTTTTTCAACATTTTCAATTCTGTGAATCAAATCATAAAAGACCCTTTTCAAGACCACCTTGATTCCAATACCTAGTCAAGCCTTACTTGATCCTCAAAATATTTCTATATGACGATTATCATGATCTATTGGCATTCCATAGAACATAGGTTGAGAGCCACTACTCTAGACATGCAGTGGTGGATCGTATAATCTCACATGATGTGCCACTTATTCTTGTGACGGATAATTTATTTCTCACATTATTTCAAAGTAATGGCTCACAGTCAATATTTCACAGGAACATCATATATATGTTATGAAATACTTAGATTTCTCCTCAGCAAGGATGACTATGTCACCAGTAGACCAAGATAATTTTTTTTTTTTTTTTTTTACTTTTAGGCAATATAACATTTTGGGGGGAGAATTTTTTTCTTTAACATTTTCCTCTATATTATGAAAAAAGTTCTTGGAAGTCTATTCATTATTTTAAAACATTCCATGACTGTTAATTGCCATTTCCTCTAAACCAAGCAGACTGTTGTGGCATACGTTTTACGGTTTGAAATATTTGGCAACAGAGCATTGTGCTTATAGGGCTAGATCATCAGTTGACATAAACTGGCTTCACTTGAGTGGGGCAATACTGATTTACACCATCTCAAAATCTTGTTTGGCCCATAATCTTTTGGGATGAAAAACTTTAAAAAATGAGCTCTCTCACCATCATAAAACCTCCCAAAAATGTAACGTGAGCTGGCAACGTAGGAAACGGTCCTTCCATGATCACACCAACTTTGAAAAGATAGAGGCTAATAGAGAATTATATTTGCTGGGAGCAGCAGCAAAACCAGAGAAGGAATTCAGGCACAAAGCAGAATTAGCAAGTCATATCAATGTAACTGTATGCTTTAAACAGAAATACTAGCCAATGAAAAATATGATGGACATACAGCAGGGCCTACAACAAAGAAAAAGCTATAAAAGAAAATTGGCTCAGAGACTACTGAGTTGAAAACAGTAGAGAGCAGTATGGAGCCATCTTTGACACAGGTGGCCAGCTGACAAAAAGCTAGGTATCCCAAAGAATAGCACAGAAGCCCATCTGCCTATGATTCTCATTTCTCTTTGTGCCTGCTTTCTTGTTTAGGAAGCAGGGCCAAACTTGCAAGAAAATGCTCACAGTAGTCAATAGTATTTTTGTCAGGTGGGAACAGCTTTGTGAAGACACTAAGTAGGTTTGGCTTTGCTTAGATTCTGTAAAGAATATATTAATCAATGTTCCATTGGTTCAAATCCATACCAGCCCCATTCAGAAACAGAATATACACTGTACTCATTGTGGCATAGCTATACATTCTCTTTTTGTTTCCCGGTTTGTTTTTAGGATCCTCTCATACGGCTGATCTGTTTTGCTAGATGTGAAGTCTGAGAACTATTTAAAAAGATAAAATATAGCACTGCTTTTAAGGACAAAAAGTATTTCTTGTGGCACTGTACTATTGTCAGTAGATATCTGTGCCTTATTCTAAATAAAAAAGCATGAAAGAAAGTAGCCAGGACAATGTCTGTAAATGACACTCTGGTTCTGTCTTTGTTCATCATGATCATAACGTAATACTGGCCATCCAAAATTATTAGTCTTAGTCACACAGTATCAGTCGCAATGCTGGGTTTCCAAAATTATTAGACTTAGTCACTTAGTAACAGTCACTGAATTGTGTATCTTTCTGAGAACCAGACCATATATATATATATATATA